GACATCAAGAACATCATCCATGAAGAAAGCAAGAGGTCATTAAAAAGACAGGAAAGGAAGAAAAGACCAAAATGAATGTCAGAAGAGACTCTGAAACTTGTCCTTGAGTGGAGTGTAGCTAAAGCAAATGGAAGAAGTTACAAGATCAAAGAGCTGAACAGATTTCAAAGAGCAGCTCGAGAAGACAGTCAATTATTATAATGAAATGTGCAAAAACCTGGAGGTGGAAAACCAGAAGGGAAGAATATGCTCAGCATTTCTCAAGCTTAAAGAATTGAGGGAAAATTTCAGCCTCAAATTGCAATATTGAAAGATTCCATGGGCAATATGTTCAGTGATGCAGGAAATATCAAAAGAAGATGGATGGAATACACAGAATCACTATACCAAAAAGAATTGATAGATGATCCTCTATTTCAGGATGTGGCATATGATCAAGAACCAGTGGTATTGAAAGAAGAAGTCAAAACTACACTGAAGGAATTGGTGAAAAACAAGGCTCTGAGAATTGACAGAATACCCACTTAGATGTTTCAACAAATGGATGCTGCACTGGAGGCACTAACTCATCTATGCCAAGAGATTTGGAAGACAGCTACCTGGCCAACTGACTGGAAGAGATCCTTATTTGTACCCATTTCAAAGACAGGTGATCCCATAGAATGTGAAAATTATCAAACAATATCATTAATATCACATGCAAGTAAAATCTTCTGAAGATAATTCAGAAATGGTTGCACCAGTATATACACAGAACTTCCAGAAATGCAAGCTGGATTCAGAATGGGGTGTAGTGTAAGGGATATCATAGCTAATGTCAGATGGATTTTAGCTCAAAGCAAAGAATACCAGAAAGGTGTTTACTTGTGTTTTATTAACTATGGAAAGGCATTCGACTGTGTGGATCATAACAAATTGTGGATAACATTGAGAAGAATGGGAATTCCAGAACACTTAATTGTACTCATGAGGAACCTATACATAGATCAAAAGGCTGTTGTTTGAACAGAACAAGGGGATATTGCATGGTTTAAAATCAGGAAAGGAGTGTGTCAGGATTGTATCCTTTCACCATACTTGTTCAATCTGTATGCTGAGCAAATAACCTGAGAAGTTGGACTACATGAAGAAGAACATGGCATCAGGATTGTGGGAAGGCTCATTAACCTGAGATACACAGATGACACAACTTTGCTTGCTGAAAGTGAGGATGACTTGAAGCACTTACTTATGAAAATTAAAGACTGCAGTATGGATTACACCTCAATGTAAACAAACAAACAAAAAAAAAAGATCCTGACAATTAGACCAATAAGCAGCATCACAATACATGGAGAAAAGATTGAAGTTGTCAAAGACTTCATATTGCTTGGTTCTACAATCAACAAAAATGGAAGCAGCAGTCAAGACATCAAAAGACATATTGATTGCAATGGGCAAAATTGTTGCAAAAGACCTCTTTCAAGTGCTGTAGTGCAAAGATGTCTCCTTGAAGATTAAGATGCTCCTGACCCAAGCCTTGGTATTTTCAATCGCCTCATATGCGTATGAGAGCTGGACAGTGAATAAGGAAGACCGAAGAAGAGTTGATGCTTTTCAGTTGTGGTGTTGGCGAAGAATGCTGAAAGTACTGTGGACTGCTGAAAGAACTGACAAGTCTGTCCTGGAAGAAGTGCAGCCAGAATGCTCTTTGGAAGTGAGAATGGCCAGACTTCAGCTCACCTACTTTGGTCATGTTCTCAGAAGGGACCATTCTCTGGGAAAGGATGTCATGCTTGGTAAAGTGGAGGGTCAATGAAAGAGGGGAAGGCCCTCAACAAGCTGCATTGACACAGTGGCTGCAATGATGGGCTTAGGTATAGCAAGAATTGTGAGACTAGCACAGGACTAGGCAGTGTTTCGTTCTGCTGTACATAGGGTGGCTATGAGTCAGAGATGACTTGATGGCACCTAACAACAAACAACAACAAACCAAACCAAACCAAACTGACTGCCGTCGAGTCGATTCCAACTCATAGCAACCCCCTTTGGGTTTCCGAGGTGGTAAATCTTTACAGAAGGAAATTGCCCAGTCTTCCTTCTGCAGAGCGGCTGGTAGGTTTGAACCACCAACCTTCTTTAGTGACTCCTGTTGTTGTTGTTGTTGTTGTTGTTGTTATATGCCGTCGAGTCAGACCCAACTCATAGTGACCCCTCCTTGG